GAAAAGCAATTGATTCGAGAAACGAATACAAGCCGCGAGATAACGAATGGCACCTATGTAAACCTGGCACTCGACTTTAAAAAAAAAATTTTTTCAAGTGCGCATTAAATTCAGCTCGGTTTGTACCCGTTTGTACCACCTTCCATTTTGTTTGTACCCTTAAGGGGGTAATTGTACCGAATTTTCAAAATTGGGGTAAAAGCCAACTTCGCCATTTTTCAAGATATTTTAAATCCGCAAGCGGGTGCTATTTCGGGATCGTTTGTACCCGTTTGTACCCTTAAGATCTTGAAAAATGGCGAAATTGGCTTTTACCCCAATTTTGAAAATTCGGTACAATCACCCCCTTAAGAGTACAAACGAAAAAGAAGATGGTACAAACGATTCCAAAACAGCATCCGCTTGCGAACTTGAGAAATCTCAAAGTGGAGTGCTAACATTTTTTTCAACCCCTTGAGATACAAACGAAAAAGAAGATGATACAAACGGGTACAAACCGAGCTGAATTTAATGCGCACTTGAAAAACATTTTTTCTTAAAGTCGAGTACCAGGTTCACATAGGTACGAATGGCTAATTGATGTGCGAGCATATTGATACATAATCGGCGGTCTCGAGTTCGATCCTTCACCCCACATATGCTTCAATTTTAATAGAGAAGAACGGTCAACAAAGAAGTAGAAACAATAGGAAAGAGCTGGGCAGAAATAAAAAGCGATTGCCCCTAATAGAATAAAATGGAAGAGGCTTGTAGACATCCTATTCCCCACATAAGGAGATAAAAGAATCATACATACATACAACATGTAGTTACTTTTCACAGCGGATGCGAGGAAAGATAAATTCAAAATCTATCAAAAGCTTCTTTAAATACAAACTTTACCCTTCAGAATGATAAAGAACTTTTCGATACGACTATTTTTCGCGGAGCTTATTTTAAAGTTATTTTAAGTTAGAACTTTTGATATGAATTTAACTATGTGATAATTTTGTTGACAAGTATATAATATTCTGTATTTGATAAAATTTGTGAAGGCCTATTTAAAACTATTCATTAATTTTTTTAAATAGATATTCAACTGACGTCATCATGTCAACAGCTTTCGGTGTTAAATCTAATTGCATTGAGGAACCAAATAGCGAATATCGAATCCAAGGGAAAAAAGCTATAGAAATAGGAAATGGATTTTGGATCGCCTTATTTATGTTTGCGCCACAAATTATGGATTTCTTTTCCATCCCCATTACAAGCCGACAAGTCACGAGTTTTTATATGAATTTGTTTCGAGAAACTGTAAAATACAGACAAGCTCATAATATTGTCAGACACGACTTTATGAATATGCTCATACAACTCGTGAACAAGGGCTACGTTGATCTTGACGATGACAAGAAAAACGAATCATGTTAATATAATTTATGTTTATTTTTGTATTAATAGCTTTTGTAAAGTTGTTCCAGGTGTCATAAAAATGTGCATGTATTATCTGGCAATGCAATTTTTTGTAAATCAATTAACTAAAATTCATTCTCAAAATACTTCTGCATAAGATTATTAAGTTCATTAACACAACTATATTATTTTAATTATTGCAGCAATCGTAAATAAACTTACCATGGCGGAAGCTACT